ATGAATTTAATATAGTAATTCGTAACAAATTTTAGATGTTTTAGCGACAGATTAATCGTCGCTAAATTAGTGATGGTATACAAAAATCATCGCTAATTTTTTAGTAACAAGGTTTTTTCGGACGATTTTATATCATTGCTAAAAACATTTAGCGAAGGTTTTTTGTGATTTAGTGATGGTTTAAACCATCGCTAAATGCCTTTTCTTTCTAGTGAAATGTGTTTAATTGAAAAATTCATATTGAATACCTTTGTTGATCATTTTGGCCATAAACCTTGAATTAGATTAATGGAGTTAATAGGTGTAATTTGGTTTAATTTGTTTAATTGGTTTCATTAGATTGATTGAGTGTTTACATGACAAATTAGATGTGAATAATCTAATTAAATAAAAACTTTGTGTTGATTATTTTGTTGGTATATTCGGCCAAAAACATAAGCTTAGGTGAGGTTGAATTGGTTGATATTTGATGAGGTCTATTTTTTAATAGAGTGAATTTACATAAGAATGAGTGAATAAATTGAAAAATCCATCTTGATTAGGAAATGAATATTATTCATCCAAAGATGATAATTTAGGCTAAATGCCTAATTCATGGTATTAAAGTGAATTAATGTTTTTTATCTTGTTCAAGAATAAATATAGGTGATTTGTGATTTAATTGTGCTTGGTTTATGGAATGGAATTCTTGATGTGTTTCGACCGAATACTTAATTTAATGGTTAATGTTGATTGTTTGATTTAATGATGAATTCATGTCTGCCTTAATTTATTTGGTACATGCTTATGCTTAACGATTATCTTACATGTACATTTAATGGATTGAGCTTGCATTTTTATGGTAAAGATTAAAGTTATGCATTTTATTTGAATGCTAATTCATATCATTATCATGAAAAAGGATTTTATCTCATGACTTTGTAGAAAGGAAAAGAAAAGGGACATGATTTCAAAGGAAATGGCTTGGTACCTTCAAAAGGATTGCAAGAAGAATGATCACCCTCTTATAAGGAAAAGGGAAAAAAAAATGGTAATGGAAAAGGAAAAGGGGAGGTACCTAGTGCTTTTGTGAGTTTTCTAAAATGCATGTTTTAAAACAGGGATTGATTATATACACAATTGACAAGGTGCATTCAAGAAAGAAAATGAATTTGAAAAGACATAAAAAAGATTTTTAATGCATCATGTGTTTTACATGCATGGACTACATTTACCGAGTATCACTCACTTTTATTTTCTTGTGGTGTAGGTGAGAAAAACATTAAATGATGGATCGTGTCGAGGAGCATTTATCTTGTTGTCTAGTGTGGTTAACAATTTAAGAGTGAGTGAGAAGACTTTACTTTTCTTTTATAACTTGTTTTTGGACCTCAATATAAGTGCCGTAGTTCACACTTATATTTTGTAGAATAATGGTATGATTCACTCTAACTATTAAATTGTGTGTGTATGTTTAATACTAGATAAATAGAAGTTTTATGGCATTAATTAATTACTAGACTAATAAAAAAGTGGTCCAAGTAAATAAACGGACTAAATAAGAAATTAAAAAGCGACTAATTGGTATTAATAATTAAAGAATTAAATTGGCTTAATGATTTGCATTTAATTGGTACTAATTAAATGGATTTAATTCGTAAGGAATAAATGAATTTAATGGGTATGGAATAAATTGAATTTAATAGATTAGAATTAATTGGATTAAATTGATTTAATTTAATTAACATGGTTTAATTAGTTGGAATTAATTTTTTCTAAACTTAACATGATTTTCAAAAGGTTTAATCCATGATTTAGCTTCCAATTAGGCCAAATTAAAGTTTTAATTGAATTAACTAAACGAGTTTTCTAATCTAAAGGACTTTCCATTAAATTGAAGTAATAGTAAAATTTAAGATATAACTTGATTTAATTGGTTATGGATTAAATAAAGACAAATTGGTTATTTTCCAATTAAATTAATTATTTTATGATTAATTTGATTTTCAAAGAAGAATAATAGGAATTTAATATATTAGATATAGTTAAATTGATTATTTCTTTATATTGATTATTCTAAATTAAATTCAATTTTTTTTGAATTTAATTGAGAAAAATTAAAGAGACAAATTGGTTAATCTGATTCTAGGTATTTTATGAAAATATTTTAATTGAATTTTTCAAATATAAGCTTTGGGGCATATTTTGGGATTACATAAATGTACCCGTTATACTAAAAACGTATTTTTATCAAATGATTTTCTTATGGAAAAATTTTATACCCAATTTCAAATAAAGTAAAGTATTGGCCTATTTAATTTAATAGACTTTTGGTACGAATAATAATTAATTACACTAAAAAAAGGAGGCAAAGCTTTATATATTGCATTCATTGCACTAATAATGTGAAACATTGCTGATAATATTCATGACTTATTTAGATTCTAGATCGACGATGCTGCCCAAAAAAAAAAAAACTACAAAAGAGGACTATTCAATATTCTATGATTGCCGAGTTAGCTTGGAATGAAACCATCTATGGAAATTTGAAGCGAGATAAATAGAAGTAGCGGATCATCTTTCCTATTAAACTAGTTCAATGGATTTGTCAAATGGTATATTGTAGATTGCATAAACATAATTAGCTTCCTAAAAAGGTCGTCTTGAATCCTAGTTCTTCTTCAATTGTAGGTAGTGGAGGTTGTCTTAGTATTTTCAATTTATGTAATTTTTTCTAGAGTTGTGTTTTTTGTTATAGGGAAAGCTCTTATACATTATTGTTGTCAATGAAATCTATTAATTTATGAAAAAAAAAAAAGAATAGAATCTGTTTGTTTGATAGCTCTATAGAAAAAAGAAAAGATAAATAGTAACGAAAAAAAGAAAAAACCATATAATAACGAAGATAGCTAAAAAGATGGGTTGATAATATTCACGACTTATTTAAATTCTAGATCGACGATGCTTGCACAAAAAAAAAAAAAAAAAAAAAAAAAAAAAAAAAAACCCTAAAAGAGAGGACTATTCAATATTCTATGATTGCCACGTTAGCTTGGAAAGAAACCATCTATGGCAATTGGAAGCGAGATAAATAGAAGTAGTGGATCATCTTTCCTATTAAACTGGTTCAATGGATTTGTCAAATGGTATATTGTAGATTGCATAAACATAATTATCTTTTTAAGGAGGCTATCTTGAAACCTAGTTCTTCTTCAATTATAGGCGATGGAGGCTATCTTAGTATTTTTAATTTATGTAATCTGTTTTGGATTTGTGCTTTTTGTTATAGGGCAAGCTCCTATACATTATTGTTGTGAATGAAATCTATTAATTTATGAAAAAAAAAAAGAAAAGAAAAAGAATAGGATTGCTTGTTTAATAGCTATATAGAAAAAAGAAAAGATAAATAGTAATGACAAAAAGCAAAAACCATATAATAACAAAGATAGCTAGAAAGATGTCGATAATATTCACGACTTATTTAGATTCTAGATCGACGCTACCGTAGAAAAAAAAACACAAAAAAGGACTATTCAATATTCTATGATTGCAAGGTTAGCTTGGAAAGAAACCATTTATGGCAATTTGAAGCAAATAAATAGAAGTAGTGGATGATCTTTCCTATTAAACTAGCTCAATGGATTTGTCAAATGGTCTATTGTAGATTGCATAAACATAATTAGCTTCCTAAGGAGGCTATCTTGAATCCTACTTCTTTTTCAATTGTAGGTAGTGGAGGTTGTCTTAGTATTTTCAATTTATGTGATCTGTTTTGGATTTGTGCTTTTTGTTATAGGACAAGCTCCTACGCATAATTGTTGGCAATGAAATCTATTAATATATGAAAAGAAGAAGAAGAAGAAAGAATAGGAATGTTTATTTGATAGCTATATATAAAAAAAAGAAAAGATAAATAGTAATGAAAAAAAGAAAAAACCATATAATAACGAAGATAGCTAGAAAGATGGGCTGATAATATTCACGACTTATTTAGATTCTAAATTGACGCTATTAAATATACACACACACACACACGAAAGAGGACTATTCAATATTCTATGATTGCCAGTGTTAGCTTGGAAAGAAACCATCTATGGCAATTTGAAGCAGATAAAGAGAAGTAGTGGATCATCTTTCCCATTAAATTGGTTTAATGGATTTGTCAAATGGTATATTGTAGATTACATAAACATAATTAGCTTCCTAAGGAGGCTATCTTGAATCCTAGTTCTTCTTCAATTGTAGGCTGTCTTAGTATTTTCAATTTATGTAATCTATTCTGGATTTGTGTTTTTTGTTATAGGGCAAGCTCCTATCCATTATTGTTGTCAATTAAATCTACTAATTTATGGGAAAAAAGAAAAGAAAAGGAATAGGACTGTTTGTTTGATAGCTATATAGAAAAAAGAAAAGATCAATAGTAATGACAAAATGAAAAAACCATATAACAACGAAGATAGCTAGAAAGATGGGCTAGTACTGCTTGGGGCGTCTCATCATGCAAATATGCAATAGATTGTGGTTTCACTAGATATATAGATGCTATTGCTCTGGTTCATCCCCTATTTGGCTCTAGACTGGTCTATTACAAACGGATACAAACTTATAAGTTTGCTGGTTTAGGCTGTTGACCTTTTTGCTGGTTTGCTAATTGCTTGCTGTTAATGAGCATGTCTTCCTTATGCTGTTGCAAATATCCTTTGATCTAGTCTCAGTCTGATAAAGGTTCTTGACATTTCTGAGCTCTGTACGAATGTGCAGTTTAGGTTAACTGTTTTTCATTCCAACTGTAGTCTGTTGGCTACTTGGCTGCCTAGCTAGTTGGTGGCAACATAACACTAAGAAATATGTAGTAACAATGGAGAAATGAGAGATACAGAATAACTTTATGGCACTTATACTTTTTTCATCTTTTAAAGTAACAGTGAAAAGAAAGACAGTAGATTTAAAAAGGACTTAATATGCTTGGTAACTTAAGCAAAGCAGGGCCTTATAATTTATAGCTACAAAGCTCAACAGAGTTACTTTTTCTTTCGATAATCCATAATCACCACCCCACTATAATATTTAACTGCCTCCTTGTTGTAGATAACATCCATTTTCACCATAGGAACTTGGATTCCACAATAATCATACCGTTGCTGTTGGTGTTCTTGAGAAGTTGAATGCCTCCTAGGGCACCCGTACCACTCATCTATTAGTGCAAAGCCTTCCAACCCAATCATGTGAAGGCGATCTGCTTGGCGTGCCATGAGCAAAATGACACTCAAAGAAGAATCTATATACTTAGCTTTGGAGTTTTAGCTTGACTATCATATACGGTTTGAAGCCAAAATACCCCATATATATAGCCATATATATAGAAATCATAGAAGCCTCTCTAGCTTAGCTCACCGGTTCACTCCAAGGAAAATCAAAATCTTCAAAGAAAGATACAATCTTCTCAACTTTTGATGATTGATTCCGTTCGGTTTTAATTTTATATTCTTCCGTACGTTGTTTATTTCATTCACATCTCAAAGAAACTATCCAAGGACCTTACCAAGTGTATATTACGACTTTCCAAAATTCAATTAAGGAATATCAAATCATATTCTGGATAGGTACGTATTAAATAAAAAGTTTTGTGTAATATGAAGGATCCACCTAATGATAATTATAGCATTTGTTTTTTCCATTTTTTTTATGACACCTATTAGTTATATTTTTTGGAATAATGACCCAATAAATAGATTGGAGAAATACACAAAGAAGAGTAGAGTACCCTCCAAACTTAGTAAACTGGATCACCAAGATTATTCCTTCTTTATTTTGACCATTATAATTAGGTGAGTAGATGTGTGATTTTAGTAAGTGCAAAATACAAGGGTTGAGATTTTTTATTTTTTTTATTATTATTTTTTTTAGTATGAGAGTGGGTGTACAAAGAGTTTTGGGTATAAAAATCACAATCATATTCTTGTATTAATTTTTTTCTCATCCTAAAGAATTACTCTTGGATTTGTAGACTATATAGGATTTTGCCAAACTACATTGAATCTTGTGTATCCACTCTTTATAAATCTTTGTTATTTTTCTTTCTATTAAATTGAATTGTTCGTAATGGTGTGTTGAATCTCAAATCCTAAATTTTGTAACAAATTCGTATCGAGCTCTAGTTTTGGAAGATTCAACTTTTGATCGCAAACTATGTATTCAAACAAAAAGCCTCAATTTACGAGTGGAATAGTTTAATAATTTTTATTTATTTTATTTATTATTTATTATTTTATTTTTTTTGGCAAAGAAGGGTAAAAGACACCTTAGTTCAATAGGGCTTGGTTAAAGCATTAAAGGAAAAGGATGAGAAATTAAAAGAGATAGAGGAGCATGAGTGAAGGGAGTTGGAATCAAAGTGTGAGAGCATAATTAGACTCCGTATTGCTGATAACATTCTCAATATGAAGATTCGATGCCTAAAATATGAAAATAGTTGAAAAATCTTTATTTGGCAAAAATTTTAACCAACAATTTACATTTAAAGCAACAACTTTAGAAGTTAAAGATGGAAAAAGATGAGAATCTCGTAGAGCATTTGAATGTGTTCATTGGTATATTAGATCAACTATAAAAAGTTGGTTTCAAAATTGAGAAAGAAGACAAATCCCTTTTCTTCTTATCTCTCTTTTCGACAAATCTGGTAATGATATTGTTGTATGGTAAGGATACAACAAATTTAAACTAAATACAAGCTACAATTTAATCTTATGAGACGCAGAGAAGGTCAAATAAAAAAAACAAAATGTAACTCTATACCATTGACTAAAGGAAAGTATTAGAAAGGAAGATCATCTCAAAGCAGATTTTAGAGCGGTAGGTCCGAGTCTAGGTCCAATAGAAGGAAAATTTAATGTTACTTGCGCAAAGAATTTGATCACACCAAGTGAGATTGTCTTTGAAAAAAATGGATAAGTCCGATGATGATGGAAAGAGATCAATGCCTTTTTTTCTTCATAATAGTTGGATATTAGATTCTACATTTATGTTTGAATAAGAAATATTTTGATTAGCTCCAAGAAGAAATATTTTAATGAGCCGACAATGTGTCTTTGGATGGTACATTATCTTATGATGTTATGGGTCTTGAAATGGTACAAATCAAAATATTTGATGGAATGTTTCGTACTTTGGGTGATGTGGCTTATATCCCTATGATATGTAGGAATTTGATATCGTTGAGTTAGTTAGACTCGTGCAAATGCAATTATTTAATTATAGATAGAGTCTTAGAAATCACACAAGGAAGCACAATTCGATAAAAAAAAAAAAAAAGAGTTTGATGTTTTATATCATCTAATTGGAAAGACAATGATCTCAAGAAATGTCCGAGAATAGAGTGTAAAAGATGACAACTACTTAAAAAAGACTCTTTGATAATTGGAAAAGAGAAAATAAATTATGCATTCTCATATTTGAAATGAGTGTGAGGAGAAAGATCTTATTGCGGGCAATCACAAATCAAGGATCCTTGCTAGAGTTAACAAGTAAGGTTAAGTCAATATTGCTGCAAAAAGACATTGAGGTGTTTTTTTCTCTCTCTCTCTTTCAATCCGATGGAGTTCAAGATTGTATGTTGATTTAGGTCATTTTGTGGTTTAACAAATCGACGATCCATTGACAAATTCCTCTATAAAAAAAACCTAAGAATGCTTTCTAGCGAAAATCTCCCCTCCCTCTCCACTACCAGAGAACCCCAGGCAACCTAAACTTTCTCTTGCTTATACCTCTGATTATAAGTTTTATTTTGAGAGGTTTCTGATCGAATAATTTTAAAGGTATGAAACAAAAAAGTTTTAAGAGGATGTGAGAGATCTTTGGTCTTGTTCATATCAAAGAAGAAAACTAAGCTAGAAAGGAGATTTGGATTTGTTTGTTTATGGTCTAATTATTTGGGTCATTTGCTTATTCATCTCAATACAATCTGGATTGAAACCAATAATACATGTGAATTTTGCAAGGTACAGTAAAAGCTCTCCTCTAGAAAAGAAAAGGCTACACAGTAGCAAAGAAGGATACCATCAACACCTCACAAGCTGCATGATGATAGATCTTATGCAAAGGTTGTTAGTTATATAGCTCACAAGTTTTCAGAAGATAAGAATGTAAAGCTCGAGAATCTGAATGTCCAACCACTGAACAAAAGACGCTATTGATTCATATGATAGTAAGAAAGATGATATTAAATGGCTCTAAAGAAGCATGGTTTGTGCTATTTTCAGGTTATGGAATCCTTAAGGATGATTTGGTGGCTTGCGGTATGGTCTTTAAGAATTTCAAAATTTTAGGTGCTTCCCAAGTTGTGATCACCTTTGTTTCAGTGTTACACATGCATCAAGCCATTGAGAATTTTGATACTATTCTTAATCTATTTTTTTGAAGAGGTCCAACCTTGGATACAATCATGGTGCTCATGACCAATTCTATTGGTTAGAAATTTAAGGTCTGCCATTGGTTGTATGGACAGTTGACTGCATTACTAGGTTTTTTAATTCCTTACAGACAAGTTATCGATTTCGACAAATTAAGCCTATACTACTCTACATTATCAGTTGTAAAGATATTGATTAGAACTGGATCGAGAGTTGGAGTAAATGAGCAATCATCTTGAAGATAAATGGTATAGAGTTTTATATTATATACCATCAAAGAATTCGAATAAGTTTCTTAATTAAATTTTAGAAATATTGAGTTTTCCATAAACAACTTCAATATGCATCAAGATGGAGACAAATTAAGATTCGGTTTCTGATTCCACTTATCGAAAGGATACGAAAGAAGATGATGATGTGGTTTGTGACATGGCTTTTGATGTGGACCATCAACAAGATGACAACGATCCTATTCTTTTTTAATGCACAGCAAGGTCAATGAATGCTTATGTCAATGAATGCTATCCTAAAGCCTTAAAATCCATTAATTGCCATCCAGTCAAGCTGGTAGCAATGGTATCAGTTACACAATTACTCACAGAATAACATCAATAATTAAGGGCAACCATCAATGATGATGCGAGTTTTGGGCCTTTATGAATTTTGGCTTAACTTTGCCCTTGAATGCTAAACCACCAAGCGATGGATGTAAGAACTCCACTCTAAACCTTAATGTTGGCCCAAAAGGGATTCAAGCCTCATCTCACACAATATATTCAGGTGTTATTATTTTCGTAAGAAAACACAAGATGAAGATGTTGAATAACAAAGACAACTCAGTAGAATGTGATGGTGAGTATAATGATGCTTCTATGGCCTTAATCATATCTAAAGTAAACTGTTGAATCATGTTTGCCAACAACATTATAGCAGTAGATTCATTAGAGAAAGTAATCAGTTTTGAAGAAGATAGGAAAGCTGAGGTCTCTGACTCCATATCAGTTGGTGCTTGAACTAGAATTCATAGTTATATTCTAAGGGATGAGTAGCCACAAAGATCCAGAAGAAAATAGATAGAGAAGAAAAGGAATGGGCAAGAATTGCATGACTGACTTGTACAATAGTTTCCCTATTTTCTCAGATTTTTTCCCACTCGTGTTATGTTAATTATTTCATAAAACTGTATAGGTTTAGATAGTCTATGTAAGAAGAGACAAGTTTGAGAGTTAATTTCAGCAATCAGGTTGATATTATATGCTTGTTAGAAACAAAATTAAGTTATGCTAAGGATAATGTTTTTAAAAGTTTATAGGATGTTCCGTCAGTCAGTTGGTTCTCTATTCCTTTCGAGGAGAGGTCAAGAGGTGTGATAGTTATGTGGAATGAGGAAAATTAATTTGGTGAGATCTATTGAATATGGGGAAAATTGGATAGCGCTATTTTAACGATTCATGTCCACTACGTTTGAATATATTGTTGTTTCTATTTATGCTAATGGTGACGTAATTGATATAAAGTTATTACAGAATGATCTTTCTTTACTTAAATTCGCATATGACGATCTATGGGTTCTACTTGGTGATTATATTGAAACTTTATCACTAACTGATTGAAGGGGTGACTGGTTGAATAGGTGTAGCTCTCGGGCTTTTAATGAGTTCGTTACTAGTTGTAATTGGATTGAATATTTTTTGACAAGTCATCGATATACATCATTTCATGGTGCTTTGATAAATCAAATTGATAAAGGTTTTATAAGTTTGGATTTTATATTTCAGTATTCTGATAATAAATTGATGGCTTTAAGTAGAGGTTTATCGGATCATTGTGTAATTTTTTTTTTC